TTTCTGAACAGGATTTTACTTCTAGTTTATAAAGGATGTATTTTTGTCTCTAACCACCTCTTTTACTTTATTGTTTTAGCCATGGGTGTGTATTTTGGTACTCTTATTGTTTCTTTTTTATTTGGAGTATACTTTTAGTTTGAGCCTCTATTATGGTGTTTTTTAAAAGTTTTGATGCAGTTTGGAGGCATTTCACTCTTATGACCATTTCTTTTAATTTCCATTTAACTAGCCTTCTCATTTTGTTCTTTTGTTGTAATATGATCTAAATGTAGGTATGGTATTGTTCATATTTTGAGAATTGACTGATTTCTGTGTTAACCTACAAAAAGAAACTCCAGTCCTTAAATAACTGAATGTTTGGATATTTGTGTGTTTGCCAGGAAGTTGAAGTTTTTCTTTACTACTTTCACTGATAAAATGTTTGGCTGAAGTAATTGCAATAATTTTGTTCTTTAAGCCGGTCAATGCATAGTAAGTTAATAGCAGGGTACAATACACCAAGTAACTGCCACTCTACTTCATCATCTTATATCAGAAACAATGATTAAATCTGTTAGTCATTTGGAATAATAGTAGCAACAAAGCCCTCTGTTGTAGTGAGAGGCTATTTTTTTCATCTAAAAATCATTTATTGTATTATGCTCTTGGAAGAGAAGAATCCAGAGATGCTACATATGATGAAGGATGGTAGTATATTTGTAACCTGAGCTTCAAGCACTTTCCTTTTGTAGCTATGTTCATGTACACGTTCAGGTCGAAAGCTGATGACTTGTCTCTTTATTGTAGGTATTATGCAATGTTAGTCTAGCAGGAAATACTTGGAGGCAAATTATCAGTGCTTGTTGCTCAGAAGCCCAAACTATTCAAGGAAAAGTTGGCCTGCCAGCGAGGCAATAATAATAATTAATAAAATTTCAAAGGAGGTATGTGGAACTGCCTGAGAGCTGAGCAGTCCCCTTCACACTGCACATCAGAATAAGTGTGATTCTTGTAAATTAACTTGGGAGCCCGTGGCCACTTTCACAACCATTTGATTCTCTGTGGTTTCTGATGTAGCACAGGTTCGTGGGCGTACTTTGGATCCTAATTTGAGTTGGGATTGATGGTTTAGAGGATATTAAATAAGGCAATTGTCTTAGATCATGACCTGTTTCAGACTAAAATCGGGTAAAAGAGCTCTGTTGTCATCTTGGAGTCAACTCATTCTCCCACGCTATTCCTTCATTTTTTTGCTGGGGCATGGTGCAGAAACACTGCTCTAATCTCATTGATCAGTGTTCTTCTCCTAATGATGGGCATAGGTAATTTGTTGATTCTGATAAATTTTCTCTCTTTCCATAGTGTTTGATGCTGTTGACCATGAGATTGTGGACTTAGAAAAGATTAGGAAAAGATATATCATAGTTGAATGACTTCATTCAGCCCTCTCAGATAGATCCCAGGAGGTAATTTTGGTTAGGTGCCCTCACAAGGTCTCCTTTATTCTGTTTCTTCAGTGATTTATTCTGACACGCCTCTTCTTCAATCGGTATGTGAGACCAGTGTGGGAGATAGTAAGGTAGAGTAATATGAACAGTATGTTCATGACACTCAACTAGGCATCATGTCCTCACTAAATCTAGTTGGTGGATGATTCTTGTCTTGTACTTGGTCAAGATGAGATGACATTGAGATGGGGGAAAACTCAGTCCTCGCAAGGTGGAGGTGAAGCTGGTAGGTTGGAAGAGCCAACTAAAACAATGTAGCACCATAAATCATCTAAAACCACTCAAACATCTGCTAAAGCAGAGTCCAGTAGTCCATTTATGTAGTAAATTATTTTGCATGTGCAGCAAATTTCACCTGTGTTCTTTTGACTACATTAGCTACCAATATGTTTCTATATATAATTCGAGGGATTAATTTTGATCTGTAAAGCCATAAATGGTTGTTTTCTTGGCTGTTTCAAAAATGACCTCTCAAGTAATAGCTCAACATTGAGAATGGGAACCTAATGTGGTCTGCTAATTTGAACTCTGTGAATTCTCACAGGAAGGCTCTTTGTTTTGGGATTTTCTTTACTGGTTGGTCAGACAGGGTCAGAATTTGACCTTCAGGGCATATTGGTAAGGCATCCATTTATTCAGACATCTTCTGTATTCCCCTAGTATAAGGTTGAGTCTTTTGGTGGTCCGGTGGGTCTCCCTCCCCACACACACATTAATTTTTGTCAAATGTTACCATTTATATGTAGGCACAATTTCAATTTGACAAAAAGTCAATGGCACTATGGCAATTGTTGTCAGCTGTTGATCCACCATTTAATTTTTAAATTTAAATGACTGAAATTGTAAATTCACCCAGAGATTGTGATGGGTGCACATTTTATAAATCCATCAAATTAAAACACTGGCCATTTATCCCTGTTGGGAGTAGTACAGCCCATAGTTATTCCGATGCATGGCCATCAGAGTAGGGACAAACTGGTTCCAGGCCTACCTCATTTTAAGGCAGCTAGTATAATTAATTGTTTGGGTGAGGGGAGCTAGGACTTTCTGTCCCCTCCTCTATCACTGGTTTGAGGAGGCTCCTTTGCCAAGGTCAGACTCCTGCAGATGAAAAAAGGCTCCCTCTCTTTGACCTCCAATTGTATTAGATGTCAGAATAATCTGCAGGCCATGTGGCTGCCTGATTTTGGAAGCCACCTCCTATTTGACTTGGCGCCTTATGATGCAGAATGATATGCGAGAGAAATTAGCCCCCTTTTCTGAATACAGTCTGGGAAAATTATTCAAATCAGTTGTATGTTACTTTGGGAGGATTAATTAGCAAAACATTATAAAGGACTTTGGGATTTCCTTAGAAGAAAGATGTGCAACGAGGAGTGTCTAGTGTTAATATTATTTATTATAAATATTTATTATATATTCACTATTCTATTAAAGCAACAAAATGTTTCCTTGTAAGGAAGATACTTATAATATCTGTTAATCTGGAGAGATCATTTTAGTGTTATGATTTAGTTTTCTTGTATCTAATTTTTTTCAAGGAGCCTAACTATATTTTTGATTACTATATTAAAATATTCATAGTCAGAACAAATTTGTCTAATAAAAAGTCCAGTTGGGGTAAATAGACTTTGAATGTACGCTTTTCAGGTGAATTAGCTCACCTAAGAGTGCAAAGATCTATTAAATATTGTTTATACAGTTATCTTGGAGGATATACAATCTAGGTACTTTAGTTGTTAAAACTGAATAAATGAAAAGCTATCAAGTTATATATTCAGTTCTTTAATTTTTCAATCAAACATACATATTGTTTCTAACCTTGTCTTTTGTAACTATTTCAACATTTCAGTGCTTGTGGCAGGGATGTAAATGTGTTTAAAATGTAAGTTTGATGCTGTCAAGGCTGGATCCCCACTTTGAACTTTAGGGTTCAAATGTAGGG